TTAGGGTTTAGGGTTTAGGGTTTGGCTCGCAGGTGACCCCCTCTTCTGTTATTAGTAAATTTCATGGAGAAACAGAAAAGCTGATCAAGGGGCTCTTCAAAGGTGTACAAACCCTAAACCCTAAACCCTAGACCCTAGATTCTAAATCCTGGACCCTAAACGCTAAACCCTAAATTCTAAACCCTAAACCCTCGGAGCGGTTGCTAGCGAAGGCACACAAGACTAAGATCTGACTGAGACCACTGAACCCTCAAAGGTTACTTCAAACCCTAAACCCTAAACCCTCAACCTCAAACCCTAAACCCTAAACGCTAAACCCTAAACCCTAAACCCTTGTTTTGCTCAGTCGCTGCTCTTGAGAGCCCTTCTTTAATCTTCATTGACGAAATAGATTCTCTACTCGGCAAAAGGCGGGAGGTAAGCGCTAAACCCTAAACCCTAAACCCTAAACCCTAAACCCTAAATGTGACTCCTTAGTGTAGCGTTTAGGGGCGTCTTTAGATGCTGGAAATTGGGCCGACGCGGCTTTGGCAGAGGCCGAGGGTTTAGGGTTTAGGGTTTAGGGTTTAGGGTTTGTGTTGTAGAGGGAAGATGATGCGTCTATCCGAATGAAGAATCAGCTTCTGCAGATGATGGTAAGCAACTGCTGCTGCTGTTGCTGTTGCTGCTGTTGTTGCTACTGTTGCTGCAGCTGTTGCTGCTGTCGCTGCTGCAACTGTTGCTGCTGCTGCTGCTGCCGCTTCTTCTGCTGTTGCTGCTGCCGTTGCTGCTGGTGGCGTTGCTGTTGCTGCTGCGTTCACTGGTGTTGCTGCGGCTGCTGCTGCTGCTGCTGCAGGACGGATTGAGCAGCAGCAGCAGCAGCACCATTATTGTTGTGGGTGCCACCAACAGACCAGATATGCTAGATGACGTAAGCCGCTGCTGCTGCTGCTGTTGCACCTTCTGCTGCTGCTGCTGCATCTGCTGCTGCTGCTGCCGCTGCTGCTACTGACCTTGATATTTTGCTGCAGATGCCGCTGCTGCTTCTTTCGTTGACTGCTGCTGCTGCTGTTGCCCCCACTGGTTTTAATTTGCCGCTGCTTGGAAGCCCTTTTCACTAGGGTTTAGGGTTTAGGGTTTAGGGTTTAGGGTTTAGGGTTTCTGTACAGGCAGCAGTGCGGCGCCTGTCTCGGCGTGTTTTGGTGCCGTTGCCCGACGAGGATACGAGAGCAAAAATTATCCGGTAAATTAGGGTTTAGGGTTTAGGGTTTAGGGTTTAGGGTTTAGGGTTTGGAGGTGCTGTTTGAAGAATACAACTAGGGTTTAGGGTTTAGGGTTTAGCGCTGCGCCCGCGGTGCACAGGCAGCTACTTGATTCGCAAACCCCTGCAGGATGTCGACTTACTGACCAGGTGCGTCGAGGGTTTAGGGTTTAGGGTTTAGGGTTTAGGGTTTAGGGTTTAGGGTTTAGGGTTTGACTTGTGCGCGTTTTCTAATACTGCCCCCAATCCTAAATACATAATAAATAAATATATATAAGTAAATAAATGAACAAATGAATAAAGAATAAATAATAAAAGTATGTAAATAAACAAAACAAAACAAAATAAAATGCAATTAAATAAAGCAAATTGAATTAACCTAAACTAATATAAAACAAAACAAAATAATATAAAATCAAATGAAATAAACAAACTAAGTTAAAACGAAATAAAAGAAAATGAAACAAAATGAAATAAAACAAAACAAAATAAAATAGAATAAATGAATTAAATTAAATTAAATTAAAATGAAGCAAAATAAAATAAAACAAAATAAAAGAAAATAAAACAAAATAAAATGAAACAAAACAAAATGTAATAAAACAAAACAAAACAAAACAAAATGAAACAAAATAAAACCAAACAAAATAAAATAAAACCAAACAAAATAAAATAAAACCAAACAAAATAAAATAAAATAAATTTTATTTTCAGGAATTAAAATCTCTCAGCCAAAAGCTGGAGGGCTGGAGCGGCTCAGACATTCGGGTCTTGTGCTCTGCAGGTAATTAAATTAAATCAAATTAATTAAATTAAATTAAATTATATTAATTAACTTAAATTAAATTAATTAATTTAATTAATTTAATTGATTTAATTAAATTAAATTTAATTTATTTAGTTCAATTTGTTTAATTTGTTTAATTTGCTTTGATTAATTTGATTTAATTAGTTTAATTCCATTTAATTTAATTAAATTGCTTAAATTAATTTAATTGATTCATTAATTAAAGTAATTAAATCAATTTAAGTATTTTAATTACTTTGATTGCTTTAATTAATTTAATTAATCCAATTTAATTCTATTTAAATTAAATTAATTAAATTAATTAATCAAATTAGATTAATTAATGATATCAACTTAAGTTAGTTTAATCGATTTAATTAATTTAATATAATTAATTTAATTTAATTTAATTTAATTTAATTAATTTAATTTAATTTAATTTAATTTAATTACTCTAATTAAACTAATTTTATTTACTTCAATTTAATTTAATTTTGACTAGTTTAGTTAATATGATTCACTTTCATTTAATTAGTTTCATTAATTTAATTTAATCCATTTGATTTAATTGACTTTATTCAATGTAGTTAATGCAATTAGTTTGATTAATTTAATTTAACTAATCTGATGTAATTAGTTTCATATAATTAGTTTACTTTAATCTGATTTTAATTAGTTTAATTAATTTAATTAATTTAATTAATTTAATTGATTTAATTAATTCAATTAATTTAATTAACTCATTTAATTAGTTTGATCTAATTAATATATTTAAATAATAAGTGAAGGGGTTAATTCATTAATTGGTTAATTAATTGATTTGCCAATTGGGACTCTATTTTTCTATTTTTATAAATGCAATTAGTTAATTAATTTTCCTGTTGAGAATTTACTTCTATTTCTTTTAAATCGATTAATTAAATTACTGAAATTTAAGTTAACTTATTAACCATATTTTGAATAAACCAACTAATCAATTCCATTTAATTGAAGTCATTTTCAATTAAATAAATAAATAAACAAATATATTAAATAAATAAATAAATAAATAAATAAATAATTAAATTTCAATTTGTTAATTCTCATCACCTCCAACCCAACCAAAAGCCCAACACCGCCCACTTGGCACCCCATTTACATACCACATGCCATTAATAAACAAACAAATAAATAAATAAATAAATAATAAATTAATAAATTAATTAGTTGATTAAAGTGTTAATTAACTAATTAGCAATTTAATTAATTAACAAACTAACAAATGAATAAATAAATAAACAGATTAATAAATCAATTAATTGATTAATTAATTAATTGATTACCTAACGAATTAATTAATTTATTTATTCAAATAATCATTTAAATGATTACTTAATTAATCAATTAGCGAATTAATTAATTAACTAATTAATTAATTAATTAATTAATCATTTATTTATTAATTTATCATTTATTATTTATTAATTATTTATTCATTTATTATTTATTTATTTATTTATTTATGTTAGCTGCGGACAAAAGCTACGACGAGGCTTTGGAGGCCTTTGGGGACATTCGCAAAGTGCCGAGCGTTTTGAGTTTTCGCCAAATTACCCCCGCAGACTTTGCAGAGGCTCTTTTGCGGGTAAAAAAGAAGTCCATTTGAACTCGTTTTTTTTCTTTTTTTGAATTCTCGGCTTCTTTGCCTCCGTTTTTCCTCTTCTTTCTTCTCTTTTGTTCCTTTTTTTGTCCTCTTTTCATTTATTCTCTTTTCTTCTCTTTTTTTCTTTCATTTCCCGTTTTTTCTGCTTCTTTTCCGTTTTAGTCACCCCATATTCGTTTTCTTTTCATTTTCTGAGCCCAATTGGCTCCTTTCTTCCTCTTCTTTCTCCAATTTCATTTCTTATTTTATCTTCTTTTCATTTATTCTCCTTTATTCTATTTTATTCCCTTTTATTCCATTTTATTCCCTTTTATTTCCTTCCACTTTGTTTCAAAGTTCTCCAAAGTCGCTGTTTTCATTCTGTCGGCTTCTTTGGCTCCATTTTCTCTCTTTTTTCTTCTATTTGGTCTTTTGTTTTATTTCTATTTGTTTATTTATTTTGTTTTTCAAATTCTCCAAACTCCCCAAATTCGTTTTTTCTGCTTTAAATCCCACTTTGATTTGAGTGTTTTTCAACTTTTATTTTCTCCAATTTTTTGCTTTTTTTATTTTTTGAAAATTTATCTTTTCGTCTTTTTGAGCCCTTTGGAGTGTCTAGACAGCTGGCCCCGCGTTGCTCTTTGCTGCCATTTGTTTTATTTCTTTTTTTGATTTCTAACCCTAAACCCTAAACCCTAAACCCTAGGGCATGCCCCAATTTCAGCATCAGATCTGTGCCATTTGGCACTTCTTTTCTTTCTCTATCAATTCAATTCATTTGGATTAATTGATATAATTAAATAATTAAATTATTATTTATTTACTTATTTATTTACTTATTTATTTGTTTATTTATGCAATTTAATTCATTAATTATGTTCCATTTTTTACTTTCAGGTAAAACCCTCTTCTTGCGCCATGGAAAAAGAATTGGCGAAGTGGATGGAAGAACATGGAGTTAAATGAAATCAAATTATTTTATTTCTAATTAATTGAACTAATTAAATTAATCTAATTAATTAATTAATTAACCGTTTATTAATTTATTATTTATTTATCATTAGTTTCTTTTTATTTATTTATTTATTTATTTATTTAATTTATTTATTTATTTATTTATTTTGAGAATTTCCTTTTTTGCATTCTGAAGACTTTCCGCGGCGTCAAACTCCAATTTTTCAATTGGCAAATTAACTCCTTCTTTATTTTTATTTTTATTAATATTTATTATTTTCTATTTCGAATTTATTATTTATTTATTGTTTATTTATTTCTTATTTATTATAATTAATTAATTAATTAATTAATTAACTTATATATTTATTTATTTATTCATTTGTTATTTAATTGTAGAGCACTTAGTTGAGGCCCGCGGGGCGACAGCAGCAAAAGAGGAGAAAAGCAGGAAATTAAAAAACAAAAAAATAAAATTAAAAGATAAATAGATAAATTAATTAATTTAAAAAATAAACAAGAAGATTTATTTCAGAAACGGACAAAAAAGAAAACAAGAGACACTTGCGCCCCGATGCCGCAGTTGCTGTACCTCCTGCTGCTGCTGCTGCTGCTGCACTGCAGCAGCAGCAGCTGCTGCTGCTGTAGGTGGTGCCGTAGAATGCTGCTGTGGCAGCTGCTGTTACTGCTGCGGCAGCTGCTGTTGCTGCTATGGCAGCTGCTGTTGCTGCTATGGCAGCTGCTGTGGCAGCTGCTGCTGCAGCAGCCGCTATTTTTGCTCCAGCAGTAGTTGCTGCTGCTGCTGCAGCAGCTTTGCTGCTGCTGCTGCAGCTGTATTACAGCTTAGTGATTCCCCTTGGCGTCTTTTGCTGCGGCACCTGAACAAAAATAAATACTTGCAAGCAACAGCAATAAGCAGCAGCAGCAGCTGCTGCTGCTGCTGCAGGAGCAGCAGAAATATGTACTAGTGGCAGCAGCACATGCAGTAGCAGCAGCAGGAGCTGCAGCAGCAGCAGCAGAAATAAGTACTAACTGCAGCAGCAGCAGCAGCAGCAGCGTACCATGGACAAAATTTTTATTTCTACGCGAGGCGAAGCGTGTAAAAGCAGCAGCAGCAGCTGCTGCTGCAGCAGCAGCAGCAGCACCCCAACCCTGCTGCTGCTGCTGCAGCCGCTGCTGCAGTTGCTGCAGCGGCAAGAGGTAAATTAAAGCAGCAGTGCAGCAGAAACCTAAATGCAAACACAACAAACCCTAAACCCTAAACCCTAAACCCTTAAGCCAAGACGGGCAAACCAGGCATTGCCTCGCCTGACAGCAAAACGAGGGTTTAGGGTTTGACGTTTTGGCTCAGACGCTAGAGTTTTAAGGCTGCCAAGGGTTTAGGGTTTAGGGTTTAGGGTTTAGGGTTTAGGGTTTAGGGTTTCTGACCAAGGCCGAGGAGCGTCGTGTAAGAGAGAGTAGCAGAGTGCGCCTCAGCCCTAAACATAAAATAAATAAATAAATTAATTAACTAAACAAACAAACAAACAAAAAAATAAATAAATAGATAATAAATAAATAAAAACAGTTAATTGATGAAAGAGATAAATAATTAAATAAACGAACAAACAAAAGAAATAAATGTTAGTGAAGCAATAAATAAGAAGTAAACAGATAATGAATAAACAAATGAATAAATAATTTATCATAAATAATAATAAAAAATAAATAAATAAATAAACAATGAAAAATAAATAAATAAATAAGTGAATAATAAAGAGTAAATGGAAAGATACATATTTTCGCACTGAGGTGTATCGGCACTTTTCAAAACGAAAATATTCATTTCTTTGTTGATTATGGACCAATTGAAGGATTTTTTTGTTTTTTTCTTTTTTAATTGTTTATTTATAATTAATTAATTAATTTGTTTATTTACTCTTCAATTTTATTATTTGCTGCATTGCAGGCGGCGAAGGGGCCCCTTGCTTTCCCCCCCATGCACTTCTGAGCTGTACATACACCCCAGAAAAGCCAAATTAGCGTTTTTTTGGCCTTTTTTTCGCCTTTTTTGCATCAAAACATTTCAAATGCAAATTACAGTTTTAGTTTAATATAAATGGCGGAAAACGTCCTCAAATGTGACGCATTTAAACCCCAAATTGAGCTCGGGGCAAACGCCCAGGTGTACGTACACCGCAGCGGCAATGCCAAACCAGAACAGTCCGACGCAGTCACTTCGTGCAGAAGTCCCTAAAGACAATTTACAAATGAATAAATAAATAAATAAATAAATTAAATAATAAATAAATAAACAATAAACTATTTGATAAGGCGCGTGAGAAGCAATAGCAGCAACAGCAGTTCCTGCAGCAACAGCAGCAGCAACAGCAGCAGCTAGAGCAGCAGCAAGAGCAGGAGCAACAGCAGCAGCAAGAGCAGCAGCAACAGGAACAGCAGCAGTACAACAATAACTCGAAGGAGAGCATAAAGAAAAACTTTTAAAATAAATCAAATGCAAACTGAACACAAAACCCAAACCCTAAATTAGGGTTTGGAACAAAACCACACTATCAGCATTTAAAGGCAAGAGTGTTAATCTATATTAGGTTTAATATTTCGCTGCTGCAGTATTTCCCGACTAAACCCTAAACCCTAAACCCTAAACCCTACACCCTCTTCAAATACTCACCCTGAAGGTATATAATACATAGAGAGACACATCTCCGGCGCTCAACTGCAACACAAACCCTATACCCTAAACCCTAAACCCTGAACCCTAAACCCTAAACCCTAGGCCCTAAACCCTCCTTAACTATTGGTAGCTCGATTTCAATTCCGCCTTCGACACCCTATTTGCCAAGAATAAGCCCAAACCCTAAACCCAAAACCCTAGACCTTAAACCCTAAACCCTAAACCCTAAACCCTAAACCCTCACCAGCGGCGCTGGATTATAAAACCCTTTTAACTGTTCAAATGAAGAAGATGCCCCTCCAGAAAAAACAAAACGGGAGTTCTCGATCTGGCACTGAGGCGTACGCGCATCACCTAAACCCTAAACCCTAAACCCTAAACCCTAAACCCTAAACCCTAAACCCTGGTCCGTGAATGCTAATGCTCAAGGCACGTTTTGCAGAAGCTCTCCCTTTGGGCCTTTCGCTGTAGCTCCAATTTCGAGGGTTTAGGGTTTAGGGTTTAGGGTTTAGAGTACCTGTAGGGGAATTGTTACGTCGATATAAGGGCCCTCAAGGTGCTGCTCCTCAACCACCCCTGCAACATAAACCCTAAACCCTAAACCCTAAACCCTAGAACACTTGTGAGAAGCAGCTCCGCCTAAACGGGATCGCAAAAGAAGTTTTCGAGCTAGGGTTTAGCATTTGGCCCTAGGGTGTAGGGTTTGGGGCCAGGGTTTAGGGTTTAGGGTTTAGGGTTTACCGATTTGTTGCTGAGCCAAGAAAGACGAACGAATTCGGAGGTTTCCGTAGAGAGCGCGCAAAATCACCAGACCTGAAAAGCGAGGGTTTAGGGTTTAGCGAGGGACTAGGGTTTGGCGAGGGTTTAGGGTTCAGTGAGGGTTTAGGGTTTAGGGTTTGGAATGAGACTTTGAGGGTTAAAATTAGGGTTTAGTGCTTTTAGAATTCACACCAACTGCCAGTGTATTATGGTGGGTAATTAGGGTTTAGGGTTTAGGGTTCAGGGTGTAGGGTTTAGGGTTTGGGGTTCGGAGCTTACCGTTCTGTGACTTCTCCTTCTCCAGCTTGTTTCGGTATTCAATTTGCTGCAGAGATAAAACCCTAAACCCTAAACCCTAAACCGTAAACCCTAAACCCTATTTAGTGTTACACAAATCAAGCAGGAAAGGCGAAACAAACAAGTAGGGTTTAGGGTTTAGGGTTTAGGGTTTAAAGTTTGGCTCACCATATTTTGTATGTCTCTCATTGTGCGGAGTTGCTGAAGCTCTTGCAGCTCCACCAGCTGCAAGCAAACCCTAAACCCTAAACCCTAAACCCTAAACCCTACTGGGCAGAGACCCAAGAGAATGCTAGGGCTTAGGGTTTAGGGTTTAGAGCCTAGGGTTTAGGGTTTAGGGTTTACGGTTCAGACGACAGAAAAGTCCTCTGGAACCCGTTTTTCGATGCAGTAACAACCCCCCTAAACTGAGGGTTTAGGGTTTAGGGTTTAGGGTTTAGGGTTTGTCACTTTTCTTTCGGCATTTGGGGTTTTTTCTTTTTCATTTTTCAAATCCAATTTAATTCTTTTGCTTTCATCAGAAAGAATAAAATATGCCTCTTGAACTTTGTAAAGTTCTTCGCCGCCAGCAGGGCCCCCGCAAACCCTAACAAACCCCAAGCCCTAAACCCTAAACCCTAAACCCTAAGCCCCAAACCCTAAACCCTAGATACTACACCCTGAACTCTCCGATTTGCGCAGTGAAAGCAGCCCCTTTCTGCCACCATCGAAGCCTCCACAAACCTTAAACCTTAAACCCTAAACCCTAAACCCTAAACCCTAAACCCGCAACCCAAAAACCCTAAACCCTAAACCCTAAACCCTAGCTCACTTGTCAGGGTGCAGCCGTTTGCAAAGCGAAAACCCTTAACGGTTTTCTGGCTTCCGCTGTCGGCAGTCGCTGCATGCACTGGGGTTTAGGGTTTAGGGTTTAGGGTTTAGGGTTTAGGGTTTGCGCAGTGCATCCTTTTTATGTCTATGCCCTCTGACTAATTTCTTTTTGCTTTTTTTTGCCATTTGCTGCAGAATTTCTCAGCTATTCTCAACGAAACCCTAACCCTAAACCCTAAACCCTAAACCCTAGGGTTTAGCTAAACCCTAGACCCTTTTGTGCGACACGGGAGAAACGCAAAACCTATACTTCTAAACCCTAAACCCTAAGCCCTAAACAAGGCAGAGTTTATCCCTTCAGCAACCTGTCTGGCAGCAGCTGCAGCAGCGGCAGCAATTCATGCAGCAGCAGGAGCAGCAAGAGCAGCAGCAGCAATTCATGCAGCAGCAGGAGCAGCAAGAGCAGCAGCAGCAGCAGCGGCTTCAGTAACAGCAGCAGCAGCAGCAGCATCGGCAGCGGCGGCAGCAAGGACTGCAGCGAACGCCGCCGCTGCGACAGCAGCAGCTGCTGCTGCTCTGTCTGCCGTTTGCTATCAGGAACAGCAGCAGCAGCAGCAGCAGCAGCAGCGGCAGCGGCAACAGCAGCAGCGGCAGCGGCAACAGCAGCGGCAGCAGCAGCAGCACCCAGTCCACTGGGCCAATATCAGCAGACGCAATAGCAGCAGCAGCAGCAACAACAGCAGCAGCAGGACCAGCAGCAACAGCAGCAACAGGAGCCGCCGCAGCAGCAGCAATGCAGTGTAGGGGAAAAGACCTTCACTTTTTGTCGCGTCCAGCTGCTGCAGCAGCAGCAGGAGCAACAACAGCAGTAGCAGCAGCAGCACGCAACCGTTTCTCGGCTGCAGCAGCAGCAACCACGGCAGCAGCAGCGGCAGCAGCTGCTGCTGCTGCTTCTTCAGTGCAGTGGGCGAAGCCAATTTGCTGCTGCTCCTCCCTAGCTGCTGCTGCAGCATGCAGCAGTAGCAGCAGCAGCAAAATGCAGACATGTCAACGGCTGTTGCTCGCCAAGCACAGTGGGTTAGCAGCTGCAGCAGCAGCAGCTGCTGCTGCTCGTGGCACTTCTGCTGCAGTGCATGAAGCCGCGGCGTATTACAGCAGCAGCAGCAGCGCCTCCACTCCAAGCAGCAGCAGCAGCAGCCCTCCTACCAGCAGCAGCAGCAGCAGCAGAAACAGCAGCAGCAGCAGCAGCAGCCCTCCCAGCAGCAGCAGCAGCTCTCCCAGCAGCAGCAGCAGCAGCAGCAGCCCTCCCAGCAGCAGCAGCAGCAGCAGCAGCAGCAGAAACAGCAGCAGCAGCAGCAGCCCTCCCAGCAGCAGCAGCAGCAGCAGCAGCAGCAGCGTGGAGGCGGAGAGCAGCAGCATGATAGACCAGTGGTTCACTTCGATCGACGCCAACAGAGACGGCTTTATTTCGCAGAGAGAATTTCGCACTTGGTACTGCCTGCACTTCATTCCCACCTTTGCGCAGCAGCAGCAGCAGCAGCAGCAGCAGCAGCAGCAGCAGCAGCAGCAGGGGGGGGGGGCGGGCAAGGAGAAGGGGGGGGCGGGGAAGGAGGGGACGCAGCAGGAGCCGCTCAAACAGCAGCAGCAGCAGCAGCAGGAAGGTGCTGCTGCAGCAGGAGGCAGCAGCAGCAGCAGCAGGGACTGCAACAGCAGCAGCTGCAGCAGCAAAGCGGTGTGTCCTCTTAGCGGCAGCAGCAGCCTGAGCACCCCCGCAACGCAGCAGCAGATGCAGCAGCGGCTGCTGCTGCTGGAGACAGAAGCAGCAGCACTACGTGCTGCGCTGCAGTCGGGGCAGCAGCAGCAGCAGCAGCAGCCCATCAGCAACAGACAAGTTCTTTCTATTCTCGCGCGCAGCGCCATTCCCTATATAGGATTTGGCTTCATGGATAACTGGCAAGCTGCTGCTGCTGCTGCTGCTGCGGTTGCTGCTGCTGCTGCTGTGGTTGCTGCTGCTGCTGCTGTGGTTGCTGCTGTGGTTGCTGCGGCTGCTGCTGCTGTTGTTGCTGGCGCTGAAGCTTCTGTGGCTGCTGCTGCTGTTGCTGCTGCTGATACTGCTGCTGGTGAAGCTGTTGCTGCTGCTGCTGTCGCTGGTGCAGCTCTTGCGATTGCTGCTGCCACCTCTGCTGCTGCTGCTGCTGCTGCCGCCGTCCGCACCAGCAGCAGCAGCAGCAGCAGCAGCAGCAGCGTGGGCTCTATCGCTCCGTTTTCTTTGCTGCTGCCAGCCAAAGCCTCGTCTAACCTTTCTGTTTATTTCTTTTTATTATTTATTTATTTATTTATTTATTTATTTATTTATTTATTTATTTATTTATTTATTTATTTATTTATTTTTTGTTCAGCCTCATGCTGCTGTGCGGGGAGTTGATTGATTTGCAGCTCAGCGCCGTTCTGGGCCTTTCGACCTTAGCGGTAATTTCCTATCTTTGTTTTTGAATTAATTTAAATAATTTAATTAATTAAATTAATTTAATTAATTAATTAAATTAATTTAATTAATTAATTAATTAATTAGTTATTTAATTAAATAAATTAATTAATTAGTTTAATTAATTAATTAAAGGAGTTAATTTGGTTGGTTAGTATATTTAACTGTTTTAATTAACTTGAAATACTTATTTCCTGCAGTTATTTATTTCATTTTTCCTTTTTTGTGAATTTAAAAGGCAATTAGTTTTCATTTTAAAATCATTTTATTTTTAATTAATTATTTGTTTTTAATTAATTTACTTTATAACTTTTTAATTTGATTTCGGAAATAACGAATTCCGCGCAAGAGAACCTGAAACTTTAATTACATTTAATTAAAATAAAATTAAAATGAAATAAAATGAATAAAAAGGAAAGCAATAAGTGAATCACACTAAACTTGGTCTGTATTTCGCATTAAATTTAATTCAAATATAAGAGTATGTTTAGATGGATAAAAGTGAAGGAAATGAATGAATTATATTAATATAGGTATATACATTGGATTAAATTAAATGAAAATATGATTAAAATGAAATAAAATGGTTAAGAGGGAATAAATAAATGAATTACACAAGAAATTATCTATAATTTGCACTAAATTCAATTAAAATATCATAAGACGAAATATAATGGATTAAAAGGGACGAAATAAATGAATTATATCCGAAGTGATATATAATTGCATTAAATTAAATTAAATTTAAATTAAAATGAAATAAAATGGCAAAAGGAAAGAACTTGGATTTTGTTTTTTCGGGTGTATAGGCAGCTGGCCTCGGGAACCTCATCAGCTGCGCCTCGGGTGTCATTACAGGAGGTTTCATAGAGCGTTTTGTTTACAGATTTCGATGTAAGTTTTCAATTAATTAATTAATTAAATGATTTTAAATCAATTGATTATTATTTATTTATTTCATTTCATTTATTTCCCCGTTTTCCGGATTGTTTTGGGCCTCTATCCCGCCGTTTTAGCGACTTTTCAATTTGTCTTCAGATTCCGATGCAACTTGATTTTTTTTTGTTTTTACCCTTTATTGATATGTTATTATTATCTTTTATTTATTTATTTATTTATTCAAATTTTATTTATTTGTTTATTTATTTATTCATTTGTGTTGTAGCTGAATTTCCTTGGCAGCTGCGAGCGTAGAGCCAGCGGCGTGGCAGATATCTTCGAACTGCTGCTTAAACTTGAATTAAAATAGAACAAATTAATTAATTTATTTATTTTTATTTATTTCTTTTCTTCAGGGCTTCCAAAAGCCCGTTTATCGCCTCTTCAGGCCGAAAGTCTGAAAGCCAGAAATTCCCATTTGTGCGGCTCGGTGGTGAGTTGGGGTGTACACACACCTGGGGTGTACACACACCTGGGGTGTATAGGCACCTTTTCGATGCTTTTCAGGTGTACAGACAGCTTTTGAACTGCTTTTGAGGAGTATAAATGTGCAGGAATAAACAAATGAGAAACAAAGGAGCGCAGAGACGAAAAAGAAAAAATAAAACTTGAAAAAGTACAACAATTCATTAATTGAAATAATGAATTTAAATTCAAGTTTCTTTTTTGGGTCTTTTCAGATGGGGATTTGCATCGGCTGTATTATTGGACTTTTCCCTTTGCTGCTGATGCCCCAAAAACGAAGAGAAACAGAAGCTGAAAAAGACAACAAACAGCTAGCTAGCCAGCTAGCTAGCTAGCTAGCCAGCTAGCTAGCTAGCTAGCCAGCTAGCTAGCTAGCTAGGTGGCTAGCTACCTGTCTAGCTACCTGCCTAGCAATCCGGCTAGCTAGCTGGCTAGCTAGCCGGCTAGGTAGCTGGCTAGCTGGCGGACTAGCTAAGCAGCTGGCTAGCTAGCTGGCTGTTTGGCTAGCTAGCTGGCTGGCTATTTGAGACAAGGAACAGCTAGCTGGAAAGCTAACTAGCTAGCTGGGCAGCTAGCCAGCCGGCTAGCTGGCTGGCTGGGTAGCTAGCTAGCAAGCTAGCTGGCTAGCTAGCCAGCCAGATCAATGGCGGAAGAACAGCAAAAAGGGTTTAGGGTTTAGGGTTTAGGGTTTGGGGGTCCGGGTGTACGGACACCGCAACTGAAGCGTTTATTCGACCCCCTTTATTTTTGTCTTTCATTTCCTCTTTCAGTAGTCTATTTATTTATTTTATTTATTTATTTTTATTTATTATCTATTTATTTACTTATTTATCTATTTTATGAGTTTAAACTCGTCCATTTGGCTCTGCGGAGCACAAATGATTAAAAGAAGAAAATCAAAGGTAAGAGAAAAAGCCGGAAATGAATGAAGGAAGAGTGGCAGCTAGCTAGCTAGCTACCTAGCTAGCAAGCTAGCTGGCTAGCTAGCTAGCTGGCTAGATAGCTAGCTGTTTAACAGGCTATTTATCTAGCTAGTTAAATTGCTAGCTATCTAGCTAGCTAGCTACCTAGCTGGGCGAGCTCCGTGCCGCTAGCGGGCTGGCTAAGTGCTGTCTAGCTAGCTAGCTAGCTAGCTAGCTAGCTGGACGGCTAGCTAGCCAAGAGAGCTAGTTGCCTAGCTAGCCGCTAAATTGTCAGCCGCCAAGCCAGGCGGCTAGCTAGCTGCTCAGCTAGATGGCTAGCCAGCTAGCCAATTGTACGGCTAGCTAGGGAGTTAAGTTTGTGGCTATCTAGCCAGACAAATGGCTGGCTAGCTACTTATATGGGCAGCTAGCTGTAGACGAGATGGACTGCTGGCTCGGTAGCTTAGGACTGGCTAGCTAGCTGGCTAGCTAGCTAGCCTAATGGGTTGACGGCTGACTCACTGGAAAGATAGCTAGCCAGATGTGCGGCTAACTAGCTGGCTAACTAGCTAACTATGTAGCTGGCTAGCCAGGTGGGTGGCTGGCTAGCTAGCTAAATCGTGTGGTTATGGAGTGGCGGCGAGAAAGTAAAGAAGGGGAGAAAAGTTAGGAAATAAAAAGACATAAAAACAAATTAAACAAAAAAGGAATTAATTCAAAGGAAGTAAAAAGAAGATAAGTGAGTGATCGGGAGGCCTGAGTCGCAGTTCTCATGGTTCCGAGGTGTACATACACCTCGGGCTCGCGGTCCGTGGTTTTCAGATTTTTGAGTCGAATTAAATATTATTTAAACCAAATACAATATAATTACATGATTTAAACTCAAAAATGGATTCGAAGAGTCAAAAGAAGAACTAAAAGCCCCAAGAGCGAGCGCATGCAGAGGTAGCTGGGGCTGGGGTGTATGTACACCCGAAATTTCGGCGGCGGCGCACAGCAGCTGCCGACGAAAGTTTAAAATTTTAATTCTTTTAATTTGTTTTTATAAAAGTTTATATTCGAGAAAGAAACTGAGAAAAGAAAAGGTGTTCTTCGGAAGTCCCCCCGCCCCAGCGAGACAAACAAACGAGGCTTTAGGGTTTAGGGTCTAGGGTTTAGGGTTTAGGGTTTTGGTGCACCGGACCCGGCCCTAACACAAACCCAGAAAAACAAATTTCAACCTCATTCAGCCGCATCCTAGGGTTTAGGGTTTAGGGCTTGGGGTTTAGGGCGTCCGAACTCAACCAAGATGCTGCAGAAAAAACGGGAACACGTAGGCAAACCCTAAACCCTAAACCCTAAACCCTAGGCTCTAAGCCGTACTGTCGACTCCTTAGACTGTCCCTAGTTGGTCCTTTTGCTTTCTGTTGGAGCCCCTCGCAGATATTAGGGTTTAGGGTTTGTGGTCTGTGGCTTAGGGTTTGGGGGTTCAGGGTTTAGGGTTTAGGGTTTAGGGTTTAGGGTTTGTGCGCAGCTCGACGATTCGTCTGACGAGGACTCCATCCCTCTGTCAAAACGGTTTAAGAAGTCTAAAACGGAAGCAGCAGCAGCAGCAGCACCTGCTGCTGCTGCTGTTGCTGCTGCTAAGGAAGCCCCTGCAGCAGAGGAGAGTGTATCCGTTAAGAATGAAAGCAGAAGCAGCAGCAGCAGCAAGGAGGACAGCAGCAGCAACGGGGGCAGAGGAGCTGCGAAGCCCTCGCCAGCAGCAACAACAGCAGCAGCAGCAGCAGCAACAACAGCAGCAGCAGCAACAGCAGTAGCAGCAGTGGGGGGTTCTCTTGCTGCTGCTCTGCGCAGCGTGAAGGCAGAGGGCTCTGCGGCTGCGGCGGCACCAGCAGCAGCAGCAACAGCAGCAGCA